TTTTATATTTTCGAGACAGTCCACATCCTTCTTATGAACACAACAAATGCTATACTACTTTGACAGTATCTGTCACCTTTTAACTGAAGCAGAAGAACCTCGCCTGGAAGATTGCGTGTGCTTGAATGTCGCAGGAAAGCCTGGTAAAAAGTCAAAGAGACTTCTTTGTCATCTGATGAGACCCACGTACGAATCTTTGCATCATGTTTTCACATGAGCTAAGAGTTAGCCCAACAATCATTTACATCTCTTGTGCCTGACATCTTGCAAAGCTCTTGTTTATAGTTTAATAACTCGGTGGTAATTATATACATTTGAACTTTTGAAGAGCCAAAAGTTTTAAACGGGAAAGAAGCATTTGAAACTGTTAAACGTTGATTTGATTGATAAGCATCGTTAGATGCTCAATGGACTCAAATTTTTATATTTGTAAGCTTGGATAGTTTAATCAGATAGTGCGACTTAGTCACTCGGATGCAGCGGATCCCATCGGTAGTTGGGGTAATACTGCTTATCATAAAGCAAAGCTAATTGAAATTCAGTAAAAGCTCCAGTCACTTTAGGTCGCATAAGGAAATCAAAGATTCGTAAATGAGTTATTCAACAATTATACGAATGAGCCTCAGGTTTCCATTGCATTTCACTTGACATTCTCTAGCTCAATCGTTTTCCAGGCTTTCATCTTTACTTGGCATTATCTAATTGAATATTTATTTCCTATACGTTTATCTCTTTATAATTTAGCGGGGTTATGTCTCCTCTTAAAGAAGCCTCAGTTGTTGTTCATTCATATTTTGCTTTCAAAGCTACATTCCATATGATGGTTTGAGTCTGAATACTATACTAATCGAATATATGTATTTTCTGGGCGAGATTACCATTTTATTGTACAATATAATTGTAGATAGCGGTTACGGTTCTACTCAATTGGCAGATCAACAGATCGATCTTCGCGGCTTCTATTTGCGCCTTTGTCTAAGTCTGGCCGTATCTAGTTTAACCAGTTACTCCAGCCATATACGCAACCTTGGGCGTTCGATACTGTCTCGTTATCGAATGCTTCTGGATATTTGGCCTGAAATCATTTCAGCTCCTAAATCAAACTCAGCTCTTTCAAAAGGAGGTACTGAACACTTAAAATCCGGCATCAAATGTACGATGGAGGAAAGAAGGCTGATAAACCTTTTTCCTGAACGCACAATGGTGGGTTTGGTTTTTCTTGACTTTTCGCCTATATACTTTTGAGCGAAATTATTCTTACATATATTTAAAAAGAGCTCTGGCATTGAAGAATAAGTAAATAAATGAGTCGAATTCGCCACTTTGTCAGAAGTGAATAATATTAATGTACATTGGAGATTAAATCAAAATGATCTTAGCTTCGTAGATTGTTGCCAGAAACGTATTTGTTCATATTTATGACTGTCTCTAATGTTTTCAAAGAATATATTAATAATTTCAGCTATATCTTTGAGAGGGTCAGCAGTTGTATTATTAGATTTAGTAAACTAAGGGAATAATCCAAATTCAGCTACGAAATTATTGTTATATAACTTGAACAAAATGGATC